AATGTTTTTTCTTTTTTCCAGAGCTGAACTTAGACTGCATCCAGAAACAAATTTAGTAGTCCGAATTGTGTGCTTTTCAAGGAAATGTTTTTGAGTCGCAAAACGCAAACACTTACGGCTGCTATTTCACCTGCCTCATCAGTTGTCGTTCCGTTGATCTTCAAGTGGCTCGAGCTCGGGAGCCAGTAAATCTTCCACGTTTCCCTTTCACGTACAAGGAAAACCCAATGGGTTTGCTCTAGAGACTCGCTGAACATCATACTTTGTTCCATTGCTTTCGTAAAGGATTCTACCCCAAGTAATCCAGTCACTAACGTCTCTTGTTCATCGGTTGTCGTCCATATGCAACGCGTATTCGGTCCATTTTATCTTCGATATTATGGCATACAAAACAAAAGGTGCTCTTTGATTTGATCGCTAACGCAAATCGGAACTTCCGATCCGTTCCTCACTTGTGTGACATGGGGCAGTCTTAGCATCCTCCTTTCGACTGTGCGTTCAATTAACTTTGAATAACGCATAACTTTGTTCTAAGCTTTTCTTGAAGAATTCTGACCATTGGATCGGTAGTCCTTCTGTAGTACGTCTGACGTCCAGAGGAATCCAGTCACTAAGAGCTGTTGTCCATCGATTGCCATTCATATGCATTTCATGTCCGGCCTACCCTATCTTCGACTGTTTATTTTATTATCATTTCTTGTTTGTCTTAATTGGTCCTTTCTCACGTCTACTGTGCGGATGCCAGCACTCCTCACATCCAATTCGTTTCCTCGCACCAGTCATCTCACCAAGGTCTTCAAAGTTTTTACGAGTGGATTCGGTTGTTGTCTAATGATTTTCATTTCATCTTAAATGTCGTAGAATGCTGGTCGAGCAATTCTCCATGGAATCCTGAGATAACCAGGCTGGAGCGTTCCCATTTGGATTGCAGAAAGTGATTTTTTCTCAGACAAATCCGGCACCATTTGCGCGACCGCGGAGGGATGAGAGACTTGTTTGATCCGGAGCGGAATCAAACTAGAACCATGCTCGTGATGACGGACATCACTACCACTTGCTATCCGCCTCCTCTGAAACATTATTTTTGGCCATAACCTTATCGTTTGACCTACCCAGAGTGGCTGGCTGCCGATTCATTGGAAATGGCTATTTTTCGTGCCAAATATGGCAAATTCTTAGTTTCATATTCTCTTGTGCACATATTTTTAGCCGTTTCGTACATGTTTTTGGGTTCTTTTTTCTGTTGGAAAGGGTGAAAAGAGAGGAAGTGCACTAGTATATTTTTTACCGTTTGGTTTTTCTTAACATTGTGTTACGTAGCCAATTTCTGAAAACTTTAGTTGGATGTTTAAGAATGGAAGCCACTTCTTGGTTGCTTTTCTTCCGCATAAATTTTATTTACTCTGACTGCCTATTTAACAGTTCGAAGCATTTGTCCAACGGTTCTTGTGTGGAACAGACGACAAAACAATCGTCTATACATCGACGATAGAGTAAGGGCCGGCCATCGAGAGCTGGAGCTTCCACTTTATTCATAAAGGTGTGCCATCACCGAAAAAACAAGTACAACTGCCCTACTATTGCATGTGACCTGGCGCCTTTATCACTTTATGCTTTAAATCATGAAGATTAGAATCGTGAAGAATCTTTACCTTGCCTCAAATTTGTAACAGTCCTAGTTATCTATGTTACTGTTTGCACAGCATTTCATTTAAATACTTCCCCATCGTTGTTACCTGGGTTGATACTTCAACTACGTCAAGAATGCTTTGCAGTACTCACAGGGCGCTTGACCGATGTCTTCAGAAATATAACCGGCTCTCTCAACATCTAACCGGAATGCGAAGCTCTGACCTTCGAAATCTGTCACATCTTCGAGATCCAAGAGAATATATATCGATAGCGAAACAGACAGGCCGGTCACATAATGAGAAGGTCAGGCGACAGATAGAAGAAAAGAACACTAGAGTGGACTCCAAGAGAATGCAAACGTCCCCTTGGACGACCACCTACACTTTGGGCGGACGTGCTCGTAAACAAAATTAATCAACTATACCCGCAGTTGCAGTGGTTCTACAGAAAACGGTATGAGATTCGCAAGCGCTGCCATGCTCGAACAAGAGCACCACCATGGACTACGATTGCGATAGAAAGGAACGAATGCCATGTGTGGTGGGGTCCGCACAGCTCGTGAAGACGGACCGTCCAAGTATCAAAGTAAGTAAGTATCCTATCGTTGTTTTCTGTTAATAATTGGAGCCATAGTGTATATATAGAAGGTACATGCAAGAAAACAAATACCCTTTTGCTTTGATAGTTTTTCATTTTTTAAAAAGCCGTAATGAATCCAAAAACCTTAGGCGTAAGAGATCGTCTCGTTCAGTGGAATAAACGATGTGGAAATCGAAACCTGAGAAGATTCTCTCTAGCCGAATCATGCGCTTCCGAAATTTGTTTTTTTTTGCCTAAATTTTAAAAGAAATCTTTGGATGAGTAAGAAATGCGCACAGTTGCTGGAGGATTTGTAATTGTCGTTCTCGTATTGCATGTTGAGCACTCATCAAGCTTGATTTTCCTTAGAAATCCGAGAGCATTCCCTAAGCTTTGCCACCTGTTGCGGATCGAAGGAAGATTTACTGACTTACGACCTGGATTCCTGTGGGAAAATAGCGATTGCTATGACTGCAGTACATCTTGCGCTTAGTTAGGGGGACTGACCTCACTTGTAAGAAATTTTAACAAAGCGATATAACAACAAGAACCTGCGTAGGTTTTTATTAAACATAAATATACATAACAATCATATTACACGTAAGAACTTCACGTTACTTAATTGTCATAGAAAAATAAAACACATTGGTCGAAAAGAAAGATCTCGCTAGAGTAGAAAATTGACTGTAATGCATATCAACCACTACAGTATGTCGGTGGCGGAGGGGAAGCAGTAAAAGTGAATGAAAAACAAAAGCGTTTCGCATATACAGAAGACTGACTGAACATTTCTCTACTGGTTTACTTCACTATGAAACTTTATAGTTTAGTTTTATAGTAGTACGAAATTTTTCCTATCGAACTCACACATGGAATGTACACCTCTTAATCACTGAGAAATTCATGGTTATGGTGAATCTATTGCGTATAACCGACGTCGTCGATAAAGTAGTTCATGCTAATACAACTGAAAGATCAGCACTAAAAACGTAATCGACCTGAGTTTTGTGAAGGAAAAGTGCCAGAATTACAAATAAGCTTTTTAGATAATCCCACTGATGACCGAAATAGTCCGAAGCTTAGATGACTTCGTTTTATAGTAGCAAAGTAGTTCGATCAGAATGGTTCTTATCAGATGGTCATGAATCAGTTGAACGTACATCGCTGGAGTTTACGGCACTGGACGGTCGAGAATCTTTTCGGTTGAACCATTTGACTACTGATAACTAGAATAGTAAGATTTATCTAACAGTTTATGACCGTTTTCAAATCTGGACCTCGTTTAGCTTTTTCTAGTTTTTGAAAAATTTGTCAATTATTGGATAAATATGGAAGCATTAGACAAAAAAATGACATTTGGCGCCGATATCAATGCACATATGGTCAAGAAGAGTGGCCTGAATGCATCGATTTCAATTCATTCTCGTTTTAAACTTTCTTTCACCTCAAAAAGTTGACATAGTAGGGTTTTTGCTTTCAGAAATCTCCACAATGAACAGCTGGCAAAAAAACTTTCTTGAAGGAATTTTTTGAAGGCACGCCGAGCGCTACGAAAAATTAGGCGTAAAAGGTCCTGTTTATCTTACACTTCATCTCAAATGATGTAAGCGCAGCTATAAAACGCTGCTTAGGAAGGGCTGGTCTAGAGAATTTGATAAACGTAGTTGTAACGCCACCGAGTAATCTTAGACGCCAGCTAGTTCGTAACCGCCCATATGACGGTCTATGTGCAACGCAAAATTGCATAATTTGACCTAATGGTAGAGACGGTGATTTCATGACCCGGGTACAGTTTATCTGATCTCCTGTAAGGCGTGCGGAGACAAATACATTGGCGAAACGGGCAGACCCCTCTGTATCCGCACAAAAGAACATCTCATCGGTAAACGTAAACCAAATACCTCACTAGGCACTCGTAGGACCCAGAGACATAACGGGGATGACTTTGAAGTATGTGTCACGATCCTCGCACAGGAATCCAGAACACAAGCGCACAAAACTCTCGAGGCGTTCTGGATTAGTTCCAGAAATCCGAAAATAAACCGCAGGGAAGAATGCCGCATTATCACGCGTGATATTGGACAGTATATAAGCCTGTTATTCCAATGGGATAGGCAAATTACGCTTCCATCTGAATTCTGTGCGGTTGGTCTCCACGCGACATACTCAGTGGAAGCGGTGAGTGTGCAAAGCTGTGTGGTTGAAATCTTGGTTTAGCGTTTTCTTTGTTTATCTATGGAGGTGTTTGGCCGAATAGATTGCTGTCAACTTGAACTTCCAGGCTCTGAGAAAGGCCGCAACGTCAGGTTGCTCGTGAATAAAGAATAAAATAACACCTCGCGTTTGCTCAACAAGAATACGAAGAATTAGGCATATGTCTACGTATTAACTACTGTAAATCGGTGGACTTACTGTAGGATACTCGATTTTAAATTGCTAGTTAATAGCAACAGTTTTCTTTGTCTTTCATTATGAGCGTATCAATGGTAATAATCCACTAGACCAGCTGGATGGTACACAATTTCAAGAAGGAATTTTAAATTAATAACAACTGCTCGTTGTCAATTATAATTAAATTATTAATAATAATAATAACTAATAATTAAATAATTTTCAAACGCGTTGCCATTGACAGTCATTGCTGGAAGTCTGGCTAGTTAGTTATAATATATGGAAAATTCCAAGCTCATCTGAGCTTCGTTAGCCGATCGGTAAACCATGTCGGCTCAAATTGGCACTGGTCAGAATGAGGAAACTTTTTAAGTAGATGAACACTTAACCTCACTGCTCTAAACACTGTTCTTGAAAAATGTGTCATAGATGGATGTCAATGCACAAAGAAAAGCAGGAACTAGTATCAAACCATGGATTAATCCCAGTGTCACGACAAGAACCATTGTTTTCACGAATACCTGAAAGTTACTGCTAAAAAAGTAGAAGCGGAAATAGATGTGTACTACACGATTTTGTTGTCCGTTGAAAACTGTAGATGTATTTTTGCACTTAGTAGCTTTTTGCATCCTCAACTAATGATTTTTTCCTCGGTTTTGGAAATCTGGACGGCTTATAGTAGTGCACGAAAAAAATTTTCCTGAGCTACAAGAGAACGTACGAACAACAACGACGTATGGTATACGTGAAATGTAAGATAGCGTAATATAGTAAAAACAAAAAGAGCCTTAAAGCAAAAATGAGATTTTGAGTTTTATACGAGGCCCGACCAAATGAACAAGTGATGAGGCTATTTAGCGCACGTGGGAAAAATTAGGCTTAACCGAGTACACACCTGTTTATAAAATGTGTTTACTGCAAGAAAAAATTATAAAAGTACGTTGTAAAAATTGCACATAGAAATTATGCCGTTTTCTATCGTATGCATTAAGTACTTAATAGTTTTTTTCTTATTAACGACTTATTTTAGGCCAAATTCTCACCGACTACAACCATATTTGTTAGTTAGGAAACTGGCACAATGAAGAAAGAAATGCAAGAACAGAAAACATATAGAGAGCATGCCATTATTTAAAATAATAAAAAGTATTGTAAGGAAACTATTTGTTTTCTACGCGTTTGGGCACTAAAGGCCAATGTTACCTCGCTCATGTAGGTTTTCACGAATAACAGGCAAAGTACAAAGATAATCGTTGAGAATCCGCATTGCAGAAGGGGAAATCCGATTGCCGATAACGACCTGAAAAAGTGGCAAGTGATGGATGCTTTTGATCCACAACGGAAAAAAGGTTTGACATCATTGAAAAGTCAGGAGAAATTTCACAATGTTACATTTTGAAATGGGGCCTACAGCGCAGTAATTAGAGGTAGCTTCCAATACGCTTAAGATCTTCAGCTCGATCCCATGACATTAGCAAACTAATCTTTTTATTACTACGGTCAGGAAACTGGTAGCATGGTTGTCTTGAAAGGCTAAAGACGGTGAAGTAAGAACGGTGACTTGACACACAGCTTGACCGTCATGGCGATACACGGATCACATCTTTGTTCGGTCAGGTCTATGGTAGTTAACGCAGAGCAGTGCATGCGTACCCTTAAGGTAAACTTCATTTCAACGTTTATCTTTCATCCCTTAGAGGAGACAACGTAGGCACATGTTGTCACTACCAAATACAGTATTACGAAGGGAAACTGTTCTCACGGAATATCTTCCGCTTACTCACTTGGCAAGGCGGCTGGCTGCCTTTGATTGAGGATCTTCAAGACCTTCTCTGAAGTAGTGAAAGGTGATATGAGCAGGAAAATCAACACTGAATCCGATCGACATAATAGTTGTTGCCATTGATATTGGATCCAGATCAATACCCCAAAGTGAGAGAATGCCAAAAACACCTGAAAGTTCCAGAAGTTATTTATCACGAAAGTCCATGCAGAAATTCGATTAAACGCTTTAAAATCGCTCTTGTAACTCTAGAGAGAAGTAGTTTATACCAAAGTTAAGTCGTTGTAATCTTTTGTTGATAGTTATTTGAGAAAATTATTTCAACGGTACTACGAATTGTTTGTATTATTCATGTCATTAAAATACTTCATAGGTATTTTAAAGAGAGGGCATGAAAGAGTTACTAGAGATTGACCGATCTGTCGCATTAACCAATCATTCTCATTTCAAATTGTTTATACCAGTTGTAAATCCTTGGACCACTTGGTAGTAAACCAGTTAAACTCGGGTTCATTGAATTCAGTTCATGAAATTGTTGGATTCTTAGGGACTATTACAGAACAACTAGTACTAGTATTAGAAAGGGATCACATACATGTTTAGTTTCTACTCTTCAATGTGGCAAATAGGATTAAATCTCCCTGAAACTGCGATGTAGACGTGGATTTACACCGCAGTAGAACCAGTTAAGCCTAGAGTCACTATGAATTAGTCATAAAGAAGCTCATCCGAGAATAAGACATTGTGCGAAATCGCCACCGCAGTGGGAAAAATTGAAATAATACTCGCAGGGTGGTAGATCTTCCACTGCTTCAGAATTAGCAAAAGCCTTTGGTGAACTGCCCTTAACTGGAAAGGCGGCTGTTTTAGAAACCCAACTAAAAGAAAAAAAGGCAGTGCCAAAATCAGCACAATTCAAGTTAAACTCGTAGGAACCCGGCTAAATGAAAAAAACCTTGTCCACCCAGCACAACGCAAGTGAAATTGAAGTCGTGGTGAGGTCCACATACATAGTGTTTGAGGGCGAAACAACGAATATCTGTTCAAGCAAAGAAGCAAAGAATTTATTTAATGTTGTAAGAAAGATCTGCAATTTTTAGAGAAAAATCCGTGAAATATAGATAGGAAACAGTAATATTTGTTATGTGTACGCTGCAAGTGGTACAAGAGGAATGAAAAGTGAAAAAAAGAAAAACAAAGAAAAAGCGGAATGTTACCGTACTATTACTTACCTATGCAAATCGAGAGGATCGATAAGCTTGCCACAACAACGGTGAACAAATTGTACATGAATAGAAAGCAGACCAACATCATACATAGAAGAGTGCAAATCGCCGCCGAAATCGTAGCAGGTAACATCGAATCGAGCTAAAAAAAAAACTACAGGCAGGCTGAATGTGAAGACTTCTTGCCCAAAATGTTTGATTAAAATAATCCAAAAATCTATACTACTAAACCAATCACTATTATCACTTTATTATTCCCTTTACACAACCCGACAACAGATGTTGTATAGATCCCACCATTCACATTCAATTAGTTTGCTCTCATGCTTCATCCATGAAGGCCTTGAATTTCTGGGTTCGGTTGCTGCTTTAGGATTCTTATCGCTCTTTACGAATGTTACTAAACACTGGTCGAGTCTATTCTTCTTGGAATCCCGAATTAAGCGTGCTACTAGGTTTCTAGATCTTCGCCACAGGCACGCATCGTGTTTTGTGGATTGGCGGTAGTTAGCCCATCCAAAAAGAGTCCATTATCAATTTCTCATTCCCGATAAATAGAAAGCTTGATAATCAATTTGCTGACCAAAAACGAAGATTTATTCGTTCTAGTAGATATAGGCTGAGAAAGGTATAAAAGATAAGGATAAAGCTCTCGGCCTTGATCAATCCTTGAGGGATGTGCCATGCATTCGACTTCTTAAGTTAGAGGTGACTGAATGCATATCTAGCCTTTACAGTGACTCATGATGGATACCGATGTATTGTGCCAGTACTGCTATCCTCCCAGACAAGTTTGATACCAGTTTTCCGACGCAGGAAGGATCGAGGGCTTGGTGAGGCTGAGGAGCGGGATCGATCCGATGCTTATTGCAAGGCGCCTCTACCCTCTGCGCTACACGCACTCTTGAGAGGGATATAAGACCCCGAAATACATGGAATAACGAAAACAACGTTAGGACGACTTACTGTATTTCAAATAAATATTTTTATGCCAAGTTCGTGCTTGGTGAACAGTCCAGGAAAATAGTTCAACTCTATTAATCAGCACGTCGTTTTTGAATTACAAACTAATTTTTTATCATTTCGCGTTTCATAATTCGAATCTCTCATGAGTTTTTGGACTTACTGATAGTGGTGTGCTGAGGATAAACAATAAAAACCATGTATTATTTCCACAATTACTGTAGGCCATCAAAAATAAATAGTCTCCTGAGAAATCGAAAACAACAACCAAAATTTGCTTTAATTTGTAACCCAATTTCGAGGACATGCCCGCTATCGGTAACCCTCTCATTTGAATTTTCATGGAGGAGCCATAGAATAGAATCACCCTATAACGTGATTAACACTTCCATAACGATGTCGGAATTTTAACACATACTGGATTGAACGCTTTTGCTTAAACACGTAAGACGCTTAACTACTGGAGACCTCCTTAAACGAACATATCCTGTAGCCTACGGAGCATGTAGTGCAAGGTGCCATGCGATACAGAGTTGTCGTTAGTTCTATTAGGTTGTAACACACGAATGTCCGATTTTAAATGTAAACTTTAAATAACCATAACTTTTCTAAAACTAAATTTTACTAATCAAAGTTAATGCCATTAAAATTAGCACGTTTTCCCAACAAGACACAAATTTGTTCATTCCAGTTGTGTAAAATTCTAGAGTTCCGGAAGCGATGAATTCGTTGAAAGTATCTTTTACGTCGTTGCGGTTGACGAAGCATTTCTTGTGCAGAAAGTTGTCAAGGTGATTGAGGAAGTAAAATTCGGCTGCCGAAGTGAATATGCGGATGAGGCAAAGTGTCGGCCCAACTCGTACAAGTTCCGGAGCCCCGGTTCCACAACGTGACATTGGACAATGTCGTGGAGAAGGATTGCTTTTTTCTATTGTCTAATGCTATTCATCCACGGAGCTCCTTCATATCCACGGACCTCCATCATATGAAGGATCTCGACCACGTTAGTCGCGAGGCTACATGGGGCGTCCCCAGGTGGCGGATAAGGAGAAAATCGCGAACCAAAAGCGACCTTTGCTTTCCTGAGACACAGGCGGATTCAGGGGATGGACTCTCCACTTCTGCTGCACTGATTTGGCACATAATTTCTGTATTTGCTAGGCGTATTCATGCATGCGTGTGTGGGTGCGTTCTTGGTTATGCGGATTGTATTTCTGTGAGCCAATTTGGCTAAAAGCCTGCAATCAAGTGACTGGAAAGTATATGGGAGGCGATTAGGGGTCGCCTCCAACAAATAACCTCCATGTCCACATCGGGAGAGCCTAGCAAGCTACCCGTGAGTAAACCTAGCCCCCACGTTCGGAGCCCAGCAAGATACACGAAGACATAAAAAAATGCTAGACATAATATAAAAAAACAGGCCTTATTCCCCTGACCCCGAAGGAGCCCCAACTTCGCAACGTTACGACGAGTACGGAGAAGCTGGCAAAATCTCAGACCCAGTGGAAGCCGCTTGGATTTCAAAGATCGATGGTAACGATCTTTACTTATAATGCACGTACACTTGCATCCGAGTCCTCAATAGAAGTCTTGCTCATGCAAAGCAGGAAGGATAAAATACGACGTCATCGGCTTGGCCGAGACGAAAAGACGCCATCCTTTCAACGCCGTCTATGACACCGGGGGAGGAGGGTTCCTCGGAACATGCGACAGTAAAGGAGTCGGTGGCGTCGGCGTTCTCGTCAACACGAGTTTGTCCATGAACATCGATTCATTCGAACAGCTTGCAACCCGAATCGGACGTTTACGATTAGAAATATGTGGATTAATACCGGAATTGACAATCTTCTTCGCTTGCCCGCCGAGATCAAACTATGACGAAAAAGAAGTCGAAGCGCTCTATATGGACGTGGAGAAGTTCTACAGAGAAGACCATGCATTCGTCACGGTCATCATTGGAGATTTCAACGCCAAGATTGCACCAAGAAGAACGTCTGAAGAACGTCACTTTAGGACCCACGGATTAGAATGGAACAAACAGGGCAAGCGGCTGTCTGAGTTTATCATGGCGACCAAGACAATCCATGCTAACTCGCAATTCCAGAAGCCTCACCGTCAGCGCTAGACGTGGGAGCCTCCCAAGAGAGAGTTCCGTAACGAAATAGACCACATCATAGTAAATAGGAGACTTTGCCTAACCGATGTCGCTGTTGTTCCAAAATTCTACACGGGATCAGACCACCGCCTCCTTCATGCAAGATTTTATTTCTCGCGGAAAGGAGAAAAAAGCGCTAAATTCAAAAAACGAAGTCTCAAAACCACTGTAAACTGGAATGTATTCAATTCACTAGTCGGCTGTTAGGAGGATGCCGTTCTCGATAACATCGATGGGGTATACAATCGGCTCTTTCAACATTTTCACGTCAACGCTATGAAAACTGTGAGTTCAAAAGTCACCAAGAGACGTTTGTCTCCGGAAACACTCGAGCTGATACGCCGGCGTGGAATCGCACGAGCTGCAGGCAACCGCGAACTAACGTCCGAACTTGCAAAACAATGCAGACAAGCGATAAAAGAAGATCTCAAAGAGGGAAGAGCAGTAGTAATGGTCGAAGCTGCAGAGGTTGGAAAAACATTCGCAAAGCCCACCGAATCTTCGCTTATTACAAGACCAAGATGATCGTCCAGATAGAACAGTTGTTGCGTCAAGAAAGGCAATGGAGAAAATCGTTCACGAATACTACTCAGATCTCTTCGATGGCCAAGTCTACCTTCCGTCATATGGAATAAAGGAGAATGGATATGTTGCATCACCAGTTCTCCCTTACGAAATCCGACATGTCATTTCGTAGATGAAAAGTCGAACAGCTGCAGGTCCGGACAGGATAAGACCAGAACACCTGAAGAACCTTCCGCCAGTCCTCGTAAACACACTGGCTCGGCTTTTCACAAGTTACCTGTCTCAATGCAAGGTTCCTACTGTGTGGAAGACCAGCAAGACCGCGTTATTGTCCAAGAAGAATGACCTGCACGATATCGGCAACTACTGCCCAATCTGCTTACTGTATGTCGTCTATAAACTTTTCACTCAAGTCATTCTAAACAGAGTTGACAGAACACTGGACGTAGGACAGCCATGAGAACAAGCAGGGTTTCGAAAATTATTTATTACGATGGACCAGATTCACACGGTAACACGGCTCATTCAAGTGTCGCGAGAGTACAAAGGACCGCTCTGCCTCGCTTTCATCGATTTACAGAAGGCCTTTGATTCAGTTGAGATGGAAGCAGTCTGGGAAGCCCTTGATAGTCAAGGATTCACTACTCTATACATAAAGATTCTTCGTGAGCTGTACAAAAATTTCACAACCAAGATATCACCATTCTATAACGACATTAACATTGACGTCAAAAGAGTAGTTAGGCAAAGCGATATCATCTCGCCAAAATTATTTACCGCAAACGTCATGCGAACATTGGAATGGGATAATATGGGAGTGAAAATCGATGGGCAGGAATTACAGGAGTTACAGCATCTTCGCCTTGCTGGTGACAACGTTCTTATAACATCAAACAGCCGAAAAGAGCCAAAGCTTGCCGACTTTAAAAAAGCCTGCGGAAAGATTGGTCTTCTACTAAATCTCAATCTAAAAAAAACGATGTTCATAGGGAACGGATTGGTTTCGTATGCCCTATTAACGGTCAACGGAACGAGTATCTCCGAATGCTCCAGTTATATCTATCTAGGTCGGGAAATTAATATAACGAACGACCTAGCTCCAGAGCTGAGCTGAAGAAAACAAGTGGCTCGGGGAGCTTTCAAGAGCATCGAGGATGTAGTGAAGAGAACAAGGAACACACGACTCCGTGCCCACCTTTTCGAATGAAAGCTCACTCAGGGTTATCGAACGCACAGTCGAAAGGACGGTGATAGGAGTAATATTTCGAAACCGACTTTCCTTGAACCTCGGTATCACTAATCAATATGTATTCTTCCTTTGATGAGCTTACACGAGGTTGATAATGATATTTATTTTCGGCTAACGTTTCGACGTCTTCGTCTTCCTCAGAGCCGATGATCCGAGTCGATGGTCCTATAGAGAACTTCTCTCTATAAAAGTTCTCTATCTATCTGAATAATAGTATTTGATGTCCAAATATGGCCCTCTC